TGTGCGTGCTCATTACTCAAAACAATGACTTGCGACTTAGTCCGTATTATGCTGGAGCGGGTCACATATATTATACCATCTATTATACCAAGCAAAAGCCCACATCACGGCCAGCACTACTAGCTGTACTGGAAATACTAGCTATGTATTCTGTATTCAGTCATTATTCACGTAAAATAGTACATAATAGATGTAATCTACATGATCTATATGCCATGGCTACGTCGATCTGTCACTCTTGACAATTATTACTCAATGGTTACAATAAGAGATAATACATAAGATATAAATTAAGTTAATGTACAATCACAGTTATAGCCGCAGAAGTCGCGATTCGTCTAAGAATTGAAGCCGCAGACTTCGATATAGTCCCATGGAATCCCGAAGACTAACCTTTATGAGGTTATGTCTTATGAGACTCGGACACGCGATCAGTGCTGCTGCCATGGGATTGTATAGTTTGTATTACTAGTAGTAGTGGGAATCAGTTAGAATTTCATCATCGATCAATCAATGTTTGCAAATTTGATTTAATTTCTTTCTTGATGATCGATTATTTCTTTTCATAATCGAGCGCTTATTGTCGGTTGCTGCGAATGACTGACTTTCGATTATAATCAATCACAGGGTTTCTTCTGAAGGAAAATTAGACAGGAGGTAAAGGCCAGTTTGGGAAAAAAATGCGCGTGATGGATTCAAATACAGAATGTTCAATGTCTTGATATACTTATAGGTATATAGATACAGGATATACTTAATTTATCAGTAAATAGTACTAAATACAGGCACATTTTCACAATGACGATGTTAAATTTGACAACGGCGGTGCGCCACTGTGCCTCCTATGTATAACAAACCCTGGATCATCGGGACATCACTATAGTTTGTATACGCTCGCCGTGTGTGTGTGCAGGAGGTGTGTGGTTGACGGCGTCACGGTAACGGTCGGCGACTGCGTCTGCATCCTGAACGCGGACGCTCCTGGGGACAAGCAGCACGAGAAATGCTTTATCGGACGCGTCGAGGAGATCCACGACAATGCCGCAGGTACGCGCACGCGCGATATCGCTTTACATGTGATGTTATATCGTGATATTGCGACATCTTTCCTCAGTCAGTACTTGCCCAGACCATTTACGCCTCTATACTCCAACGCCGCTGGTACGCGCGCGCATACCGTAGAAGTCCGAAAATCTGGACTGCTCGAGGATCGGGTCGGTCTGGATTTTCCGGATTATCGGGCAGTAGGCCCTACTTTTAAAATTCAATTTTAAGGTGGAATAAAGAAGAAATGAACAGGTAAATTTTGATTGTTTATTCATGAGCAAATAAAGCATGCTTCTTTTATTAAAATGATCGGTTTTAGAGAAAAATATGGTCAACACTTGACAAAAATGTGAACAAAAATTTTTCACTACAAAAAAAGAGCATGTAATGCTTGAAATCATGTTTAAAAATGTAAATTGTAAAAGAAAAATACAGTTTGAGAGTTTGTTGGGCGGTCCAGATTTCTGGCATCCAGATTTTTGAAAATGCTACTGTATATGTGATGTTGATTCACATTATTGCGATATCTTTCCTTATTCGGTACTGTACGCCTGTACTGTACGTACTGTACGCAGACCATTTACGCCTCTATATGCCAATGCGTGCTTCACTTGCTAAGAATATCATTCTTACGAACTACTTAAAAAAATATCACAAAAAGAAATGCACGCTTCACTTGCTAACAATATAACTTAGCTTAGTTGGTACTGAACGGGTTGAAACTGAAATTTGCCGGCATCATTGTCGACAATCGTAATCGCTCACGCGCGCGCGTCGTCGTGGCAACGTTGCAGACGACGGCGAGCTGTCGGCGGTCGTGGCGTGGTACTGGCGGCCGCACGAGATTCCGCGGAGGATGTGGAAGCTGCTACCTTCGCCAGGGGGCGCCGGGCCGCGAGAGGTCTACATGAACACGAGCAGATGCTCTCTCGAGGCGCGCACCGTCGCCGTGGAAACCATCTTCAAGAAGTGCGAGGTGAGCGGGGGCCGCAGCAGCAGACGATCTCGTTACGTCGGGTCGACGACGAAAGTCGTTAGCGATTTGCATCGGGAACGAACGAGACCGGATCGTCGCTGCGAGCAACGATGTAACGTAACAGTGTAAACATTAACATAACGCGTTAACTTAACGTGTGTACGTACGTAACTTAACGTGTGTGTACCCGTTACACATGTACGTACGTAACATAACGTGTATGTACCCTTACATATGTACGTACATAACTTGGTAACATACATGTGTGTACCCGTAGGTACGTAACTTGGTAACATACATGTGTGTACCCGTAGGTACGTAACTTGGTAACATACATGTGTGTACCCGTAGGTACGTAACTTGGTAACATACATGTGTGTACCCGTAGGTACGTAACTTGGTAACATACATGTGTGTACCCGTAGGTACGTAACTTGGTAACATACATGTGTGTACCCGTAGGTACGTAACTTGGTAACATACATGTGTGTACCCGTAGGTACGTAACTTGGTAACATAAAGTGTGTGTAACCGTAGGTACGATATTGGTAATACATGTGTGTAACCGTAGGTACGTATTGGTTAACTACATGTGTGTACGGTAGGTACGGTAACATTGTAAGCATACGTGTGTAAGAGTGTTGCATGCACGTTGGCGCGCGTGTATGGGTGTGACCCTGCCGTAGCACAGAAATGTGATGCCTGCAGCAGGAGAATAGGCGCGTCGCGGGTCGACCGATTCTACGCGGCGGTTAACTACGTTCGACGTCGAGCAGTTCAAGCCTTGTGGAGCGGAGGCCACACACCTGTGAATCACTCCGCACATCACAGGTAGGATCGTTACCCTGGTGGTAGCATAATCACAGTCGGTCGTTAGCAGGTGTGCGCATTACGAGTGTGGGATAATCAAGGTACGCCATGTTACAGGTGTGGCATTAAGGTGTGATCGTTATGGTGTGGCATAATGCACAGGTACGCGTCGTTACAGGTGTGAATCGTTACAGTGTGCGCATTACAGGTGTTGATTGTTACGGTACGCGTGTACAGGTGTGTGCCATTACAGGTGTGCATCGTTAGAGGTACGCGTCGTTAGCAGGTGTGCATCGTTACAGTACGCGTTCGTTACAGCGGTGTGCAATCGTTACACGGTACGGTCGTTACAGGCATGGTGTCATCGTTAGGTACGCATACGTTCAGGTGGCGAATCGTTTACAGGCTGTGAGGGGTCGTAAGTGCCGGTCGTCGTCTAGGCCGGAGGCGGACAGTGCTTATTGCAGCTGGAGGTGATCTCGCGTGGCGGCGTTGTCTCCGTGGCTCTATGAGAGGCGCAGTGAAAGATGGCTGGGCGAGAGCCAATATGGAAGCAAGTCCGGCATCTCATCTCATACGGTCTTCTTGTGTGTGTGAGTGGTGTCTCTATCACTCTCTTATCTCTCTTTCTACTCTTCGCTGTCTGTTTGTTCTCTACATGCTATTTCTCTCTTTGTCCTCTTTGTCTCTCTCTGTCTCATACTCTCTCTCTGTTGTCTTCTGTCCTCTCACTGTCTGTTCTATCTCTCTCTGCCGTCTCTGCCTCTATATATTACTGCTCGTTTTATCTCTCTTAAAAAATGATGAATGATGTGTATTCCTTCCATCGTCAACATGAACCAGTTATTTCGGCCGGTCGGGGGTGTTGCGAGGGAACAGCGGGGGGAAGGGTCGCAGGCAGAGGCGGCCGCGGAAGAGCAGCGAGTTTGAGGCGAAAGCCGTTCCGGTGGTGTGATGTCCGCGCCCAATACGCCATGACGAGAGAACGAGAGAGAGAAAGAAGAGAGGAGAGAGGATGAGACTAGACAGAGAGAGCACAGAGAGAGGGAGAGAGAGAGCGAAGAGAGAGAGAGAGCAGAAGAAGAGAGATAGAAGAGGCAAGAGAGAGAGAGAAGAGAAGAGGAGAGATGAGGAAGGAAAAGAGCGAGAGGAGGGAAGGGAGAGATAAGAGAGCGAAAAGAGAGAGAGTGAGCGAGAAGAGAGAGGAGAGAGGGGAGAGAGAGAAGGCAGAAAGAGAGAGATGAACAGAGAGACAGAGAGAGAGAGAGAGAGAAGTAGAGAGAGAGAGATGAGGAGGAGAGAGAGAGGAGAGGAGAGAGAGGCAGAAGAGAGAGATAGAAGCAGAGAGCATCCAGAGAGAGAGAAAAGAGAGAGAGAGGCAGCAGAAAAGAGAGAGATAAGAACAGGAGGACAAGAGAGAGAGAGGAGAGAAGAGAGAGAGAGAGAGGAGAAGGAGGAGAAGACGAGAGATAGGACGGGAACTAAGCGACGAGACAGAGCAGAAGTCATAGAGAGAAGAAGAGAGGGTGACGGATCGAGGGAGAAAGGAAGGAGAGAGAGACGAGACAGAGACAGAGAGATAGAGCAGAGAGCGAGAGTGTGATACACAGTAGAGAAGTGGATGAGAAGAGAGAGAGAGAGGGAGTATCACACAGAAACAGAAACGACTCGACTGAGAATGAAACAAGAGACAGCAAGCTAACATTTAAAGCAGCGCATCCTATACCCACGGTGTCGTTGCCGCCGCGTTCCATCGCCACACATTTGTGCTGTCTCTCGTACGCTCACATCTCCCCCACATCTCTCAGGCCATAATAAAAAATATTATTTGTTTGCCGTCACCCGACCGACCCGCCAAAAAGGGGTCGTCTCAAAATTGTTTATTGATCTTCAAATTGTATCACTGTGCTGTACATTATATAAATCTGGAGGCAATACATTATATGTGCCAAGCAAAAGAAACATTCAACATAAAAGGTATCTCCACACAAGCACACCCGAGCATGTAGACACCACGCGTAATTTGTAAAAAGACCCCGCCCTCAAAAAAAAGCCGACCTACCTACCCAAACTTTTCAGCCTGGGTCGGGTGTCCAGTGAGGGCAAACAAATTTTTTTTTAATTGTGGCCTCATTCACAGGGAAAGATAGGAGCGCGTACGAGCAACCTAGCAGGGAAGGCTCCCCTGTCATCCCGCTGCAGGCAAGCATCGCACGCAAGTCTCGCTCTGGAAATCACTTTGGTGAGTCATGCGACTTTCCCGCTCGGTATGACAGTATATGAGAATGTGTCTAGCCGAATCGAAATCAACTGAATCGTCCATTAAATTGACTACGTCACGAATTTTCTATGGTATATATTTGTAAAATGTTTGTTGCCATTTTTTGACATTAAAAGTAAGTACTAACGCGAGACTAAATGTGTCATAAAAGTGAACAGAATCACTTACATTTTGTGAGAAAGTGGAAATATTTTTTTTACTTTTACTATTGACGGTGACGTAATCACGTAGTCGACTAATAGACTAGATTAATTCGTTATTGATTACATTCATAATGTTGCCTGTTCATCATTATACGGTAGATCATAGGAGATTTCTGGCGTTTTTGTTTAACGATTTTGATATTGTTTTACGATCTTGATTGGATCTCATTTTTTTATATATATTTGATTCGATGCTGTCGTCGATTTGGATTCAATCTCGTTGTCGATTTAAATTGAAGCTTTTTTTAGATTTTGATGAAATTTTGTTATTGTCGTCAACG